CTCACCATGGGATCGCTCCCACTTGGACACACTCCCATTGGGATGCCATCCACCTTGTTGGCCTGAGCCAAGCACATGCCAGCGCCATGCTCTTGGACCTCAGGAACTGTGTGAGTTAAAAAACAACAACAACCCTCCTTTCTTTATAAAGTACCATCTCAGGTATTTTGATAGCAATAGAAAGTGTACTGAGATACTGTGAAGTCAATTAATCTAATCCAAACCCGGGGTTCTGTGTTCATCAGTTTTTGGTCACTGTAACAAAACACCCGAGAAAATCAACTCAGAAGAGGAAAGGTTTATTTTGGCTCCTGGTTTCAGGGTTAGTTCATGGTTGGTTGATTCCATGGTTTCTGGGCCTGTGGTGAGGCAGAGCATTAGGATGGAAAGGTGTCATGGAGGAGACCTGCTCAGCTCACAGCAGCTGGAAGCAGAGAGAGAGGGGAAGGGGCTGGGGATAAGATATGGTCACCAGGAGCTTGCTCCCAAGGACCTACTCCTTCAGCTAGGTCCCGTCTTCCATAGGCCACCTCCTAATTGTCCATTCAGTTATGACCCCAACAATGGGTTAATCCACTGGCAAGGTCCAAGCCTTCCTGCTCCAACCACTTCCCAGAAGTACCCGCTCTGGACCAAGCCTTTAGCACATGAGCTTTGGGGGACATTCGAGACCCAAACCTCTTATGTGCCACAGTCCCCTATGTCCTCTTTTACATGCATGGTATAAAATGCCTTGCGTTCTAAAAGAAACCACCATATTAAAATCAAGTCATTGAAAGTTTGCAATACGACATGCTATTCACACTTGTGCTTCCTTTTATTAGCATATTAAACAATCCAATCTAGCTGAGGGACCTCTAACTACCATACTTTCAAATCAGAGGTGGATGTGGGTGACGTTTCAAGATCCCAGCCACAGTTGTGATGTGACATGAACACAGCCACGATTTCTACTGGTGACAGATTCATTTACTGAAAAGGCAAACACAGCTCGTTGCCCACAGTCTTAATGGAAGGAAGTGCTGCATTTCAGTGAGAGATTAGGGAGAATAAACATGTACTTTGTTCCATCCAAGTTCACACGTCAACCCAAAGTCTGCTGGTGGACTCTGAGGATCCCCCAGGGGCTGGGTAAAGTCCCTGCACCCACGTCTTTGCAGAATCCCAGAAGTGCTCCTGAGCATGTGCGGGTTCTGGGAAGTTTGCACCCCCCCCATGGCGCCCTTTGGCAAGCAGAAGCACAAACTGGGTTGGCACTGGGTACCTTGCTCCCAAGAGAGAACACTCAGGAGTCCCCATAGTCAGGTGCCATCTGTTTCTCTGTATGGGGTGGACTTGGCTGGCACTCACCCAAGGTCCCTGTCCACTCACAGGTGCCAGGGCGGAAGTGATGATGGCCACTTCCAGGATGTGCGTTGAGAAGGCCTTCAGACTACCGGCTTTCACCTCCCCAACCTGGTAGCCCTGAAGTAACACCATGAAAGGTGGCTTCACAAAGGAATGGGACCTCTGAGCTCCTGGACCCCTGAAGGGCTCTGCAGAGCCTCTGCTCCAGGTGGAGGAGGAAGAGGGACGTCCTGGATTGTGGAGTCTGGGCACAGCACTGAGCCTGTGCAGCCAGCTGCTCCCTTCCTGTCCAGGGCAGCAGGATCCTGTGCTTTCCTTTCTCTTCCATGCTGGCCACAGAGCAGACTGTGTCCCCCTGCAGAAGAAGGCCTGCAGATTGTGGGTGGGGAGGGGAGGAGTCCACTACAGGCCTGGAGGCCCCCTTTGGCTGAGGTCACATTCTTCCATCTGTGGGCAGTCAGGCTTGCGGTTTGATCCCTGTCTGTCTCCTGGTTCCTTGCTCTCTGTTTGTCCTGAAGGCAACAGAAGAAGTCACAGGTGCATTATTTGTGCTCCCTGCCCTCAGGATATTTTCTCCACCTTCATCTCCACCCCTATCAGATACTGAGCTCTTGGAAGCAAAGGTATTTTGAATTTATCTCAACCTTCCTGTGATTTTGACATGGCCTGGCATTTAAAGTCTGAGGCTATCATAGAGCTGATGAGACTGCGATGGTCACCGAGGCTTGGAGGTAATTCTGTGCGTGTCCCTCGGAGCATGATCGTGCTGCTGAGGACACACGGAGTGGAAGAGGCCTCGGGGCCCCTCAGCACAGAGACTGTGCACTTGTGACATTTGCAGATGTCCACCTTTTCTCTCCAAAGCCAAGAGGATTCTTGGAGTCACTTTTTGTCATCTCTGCTGGGACGCCGGAGGAGAGGATGCTGCTCCCGGAGCCATCTGCTCCCTCGGGAAGAGCTTCGATTGTGCAAGAGTTCATCCTGGTCTGAGCTGAGATCTGCCTGGGAGCAAGTTCCCTCGCTGTCCTTCGGTCCTGGCTCTGCCTTCGGGGACCACAGGGATCACGTCCAATCTCAGCCTGTGCACAGCTCTTTACATCGGCAAGTCAGCCTGTCACCCCGGCTGAGCTCTCCCTTGTCCCTGAGGAGTGGAGCGCCTGTCAGACCTTTAAGATGGCTTTTTTTGGGCATATCCGTTAGCAAGCGTTTATTGATTACTTAAAGTCCAAGGGATACAGTGGGAGAAGGACCATGTTGGGGCTCTGGCATTCAACCCTCCTGCATATTCTTGGAGGACCAACCCTGGGCCAGGCTCCGGGCCAGGTGATGGGGATGCAGGAAGGAACTGCAGGCTGCAGGCAGCCCGTGGCTTGAAGCTTCTTGAGGCCCAGTGGGGAAGGAACCTCTGCCTCTGTATGCTGAGTTTATGGCAGGTCCCAGTTGAGCCCATTTCTCCGTTAGACACACACAGGAAATGGAGACCCCTCCGCTTGCTGTCTGCGCAGAGCTGGTGATTGAGCCTGAGAGTGATTTCAAGCTCTGTGGAGGAAGAAGAGGGAAAGCTCAATGCCAAGTCTGAGATGCAATCCACTGACGATGTGTCGCAGCCTGCCAGGCCACAGGATGAGGCTCTGTCCCTGGAGACCCCACCATTCATCCACTTGGGGACAGTCAGAAGGGAAATAGCAAATCTCACTCCAGGCCAAATCGGGTATTGCCAGCAAGACAGACAAACACCGTCTAGTGCCGCTGGAGAAGGGGAGCTGGCAGGCAGCTGGAAGAATGAAAAGGCTTCTGCAGGAACTGGCCTTGGTCAGGCCCTGGAAGACTTGGCAGGGCAGCGTTGGGGGCGAAGAGGCGCCTCCTGAATGTGAATCGCCTGTGTACTGGTTGGCTGTGTGGGTAGAGCAGAAGCCCCCGCCTCTTGAAGCAGCACCGGAAGTTGATTTAGGGATGACTTACTCCACAAACACCTCCCAGAGAGCAGAGGGCTGCCCTGTTCTAAACTCACAGCTTAGGGAAGGGGCCACGTGGAACAGAATTCTCAGGTAGTCGATGCATGAGAGGGTGCTGAGTGTGCACCTGTACCGTTTTTCGCGGTCACCATGGGTGGCCCTTCCCTGCTGCACAGATGATCAGATCCTGGCTCGGGCTCTCCACCCCCACCCCACCCCCACCCCATGACCACCCCGGCTCTCCCTGCATAATCAACTTCTCATCTCAACCAGCCAATCCCGCTGGGTGAGAGCCCTGCTATGGTGTTAGAGAAAACAAAGAAGTCCTCCCGGGACACTGCCTCCTCCTTGGCTGTGGGGTCCAGCTTCCCCACTCCGGCTCCCGCCAGCCCTTCTCCAGTGAGTGGCACGTGGCCCCTGGGTCTACCCGCAGGGCTCCTGTCGTTCCCCCATTTCCATCTGTCTTCAGTCGCCGCCGTTCCTCTGAGCATTGCCGGTCAAGGGCAGCGGTGACCTCCGCACAAGCACATGCAGTAATAACAACGTCTCCGTCTTCATGATGGTGCGGTCCCAGCAGCTGTGGGCCCTGTGGGATGCTCCTCTCTGGAACTTCTGTTTCCAAGTTTCCCGGTTTCCCCTCCCTCACTTGTCACAAGCCGTCCATGGGCTGTGTGTGGACCATGTTGCGCATAGTAGGTAGCCTAATGAGGGGATAAGTCTGGCACTGGGAGCCTCCCGTGGCACCCCCGCAGGGATTGATCACCTGATGCAGGTGAACTCCCCCCCCAAGCTCTGCCAGAGATCCCACACCACACCTGAGATGGGTGTGACCTGCCAAGATGTCAGTCAACCTGACTGCAAGACAGCGAGAAGCCAGACTCCTGCCTTTGATGCCCCCCCATATATCAATAAAGCAAGTGCGCGCTCTGTTTTGCCAGAGTCCAGAAGCTCCATCCTTCTGATCCGCTTGCCCCTCCTGCCCCCACTTTTGAAACTCCTTCTGTGTCCTGTGGTTTCTTCTTCATTCTATTTTTCTTAGCTTTTACTTCTCAGCCAGCCCATTCCACCGAGGGGAGCCCCATTTCCATCGCCTGCGCAGGACATGGGCGAGACTCTGGGATTCTTTCACCCTCCTCAAAAGGCTCTGCTTCTGCTTGACTTCCAGGGGCCTGGGGTTCTCTGGGGCTCAGTCCTGGCCCCCTCTCTTTCCAACACTCTCCTGGTGAGTCCCTCCTGTGCTGTGACATTGCAGCCCCTTTCCGTGCCCAGAGCTCCTGTCTCCTAGGCGCGTGCCTCCGCAGGGCAAATGGCACTGCACATGGAACCCAGTGACGCCTCCCATCTCACAAACCCCAAAGGGAACTCTGATTCCCACTGGCACCTCCGGGCCAGCTCTTCCTCCACCCTTCTCCAGGCAGCTGCCCACCGCCCTCCAGCAGCCAGAGCCCCAAACCCAGGGTCATTTTTAGAGATTCTTGTCCCTCCCTCCCCTCTCACAGCCAAGCCCTTAGCAAGTCCTTCAACTCCACCCCAAAGCCAGTCTTTAGCCACCAATTTAGCCTCCATTCTTGCTCTAGCTCTTGCTCAAGTCCTTCCTTCTGGTGGCTGCAGCAGTCCCCTAACGGTTCCATGTCCCCTCTATCATGGCATCTCCACTCAGTATCTGGAATGATCTTTTAAAAATGAAAATCACCTTTCTGCCTCCGCTGCCGCCATGGCGCCCGTGAAAAAGCTTGTGGTGAAGGGGGGCAAAAAAAAGAAGCAGGTTCTGAAATTCACCCTTGATTGCACTCACCCTGTAGAAGATGGAATCATGGATGCTGCCAATTTCGAGCAGTTTCTCCAAGAGAGAATCAAAGTGAACGGAAAAGCTGGAAATCTTGGTGGAGGGGTTGTGACCATTGAAAGGAGCAAAAGCAAGATCACTGTAACATCTGAGGTGCCTTTTTCCAAAAGGTATTTGAAATATCTCACCAAAAAGTATTTGAAGAAGAATACGCGACTGGTTGCGTGTAGTCGCTAACAGCAAAGAGAGTTATGAATTACATTACTTCCAGATTAACCAGGATGAAGAGGAGGAGGAAGATGAGGATTAAAACTCTTTTATCTGGAATATTTTGTAAGAGTTCTTGAATAAAACTTGGGAACCAAAAAAAAAAAATGAAAATCACATCTCATCTCCCCACTCCGACTTAAGACCTCCCACTGCTTGGGAATGTATTCCAAGCCCTGTTTCCGGCTGTGGCCCAAGTGTGGCTTCTCCCAGGCCCTGTCACACACTCTTCCCCCCACCCCTTCCCTACAGTGCACCTGAGAACAGTCTCCTCACTCTTCCTCCCTTCTGCTGGGCCATCTCCTGCCCCTGGCCCTTGGTCTAGTCTGTTCTTTGACCTGCAAGGCCATGTGGCCAGCTCCTCCCCTTCCGCTCACTCGCCCATTGCTGCATTTTGATTTTCTGCATTCTGTGCTCACCCTCCACTCTCTTCCTTTGCCTGTTTGTCTGTCCATCTGGCCCTCTACAGTGGCATATGGCTTCTGGGACAGAACTGAGCTTGCCAAGTTGCTCCAGCTAATCCCTGGCCTCTTGGAGAGCCCTTGGCCCATGGTGGGTGTTCAGAAGCTCCATGGAGGAGGGATGAGTGAATGCTGTGCTGAGGCCCTTACAGGCAGGTCCCTGGATGTTCCTCTGGTGGCCTGTCTGCAAACAAAGCCACAATGGCTCTCCTGCCTGGACCCCGGTGCTGGAGGACAATTCCTTCACCCTGGCTCAGGCCATGGCCAGAGGAACAGTAGGAAAAGCAACTTGAGAAGTGGATGCAGCTTCTTAGAGAATGTGCCCAGTCAGCCCGTGGGGGATGAGAGGCCCCATGAGGAGAACTGCAGCCAGCAGCAGATAGGTACAGGCACGTGAATGAGGCCATCTGTGTTGGTCAAGTCTCCAAAATGCAGAAGCCAAGGCATCCTGCAGGGGTGGGCAGTGGGGCAGGTGGCTGAAGCCGGAAGATGGAGCCCACATGGATTCCCATCACCAAGCAGGTGAAGGAAGCAAAGCTCAGAGGAGGAAGGTCACCGACCAAGGCTCAGTGCCCAGGTCCATGCTGCTCTGAGTGCTTGAGATGTCCGGAGGTAAAATGCAGCTAGATTTCAAGGTCTTGGCACAGAAATAGAAGAATGTATAATATTCATCTTTTGAAGCTATTGTGTTAGAGTCTGTAAACAAGTCAGGATGGCGCTTGGCATTTTGCCAGGGGGAGTGGTCTGTGAGGTGGCGCCAGTGAGCCATTAAGTGTGGAGATTCCTTATTGGTTGACTGCTGTATCTAGTTTATGTTAATTAGATAAAGCTGTGTGGAATGTATATATACCCCTCCTGTCCTACAATAAATGGCTCCCACTCCTGCTGTATCAGTCTTCACAAGTTGTTCGTCACCCCCGGTTATATTGCTGCAGCCGGACTGCGGCACTATTGATCACATGTGAAGGAATATTTTGGATGCACTGGGTTTAACAAATGTATTATTAAAATGAGTGTCACCTGTGTGGTTTTTTTTTTCTTTTTCTTTTTGGTGTGGGTACCAGAAAACTTAAATGACACACATGGCTTTTATGGCATTTCAATTTGATGGTACTAGTCTCGGTTCTCATGGGCAATTGGTGGCAGTGGGATGAGTGTATGTGTGAGCATGTCTTCATAAGTGTGTGTGTGTGTGTGTGTGTGTGTGTGTGTGTGTGTGTACATGGGTGTATGTGCTCATCAGTACTAGTGAAGATATGTGCATGTGTGAGATAAATATGTGAATGTGTCTGTGGATTTGTCTATGTACACGTGTGAGTGTGTGTGTATGTATATGATTGTGTATGTGGGATTGTGAACATGTGTGTGAATATACAAGTATATGTGTGTGTGCATATGTATATGTATTTGTGTGCATATGTGTATTTGTATGTTGTGTGTGTGTGTGTGTGTGTGTGTGTGTATGCATGCACAGGAAGGCTGGCTTGCAGAAAGCCACAATCAATAGTCCAGATCAAAGTCCAAGTGGTCCTAATGTCACCACCCTATGCTAAGGTCTCTATGATGTGCCAGCCTGCTGAATACAGTCTTGTGAAATCCACAGGGAACCTGGGTGATCTTGGAAGCACCACCCTGCCTCACAGGCTCAGGGGGGGCCGAGTCACCCAAGAAGGTCCCGCACCAGGAAGTGGTGTGGTGCAGGAAGCCACCTGTGAAGTTCATGAGGATCTCCTCTCGGCATGAAGCCAGGGAGATTTAGGTTGGGCCTTGGGAACTATCCATGGCTCTCCCACGGCAATAGATTGCCTAATGCACGTGACCTTTGTCTCTGCTCTGCTAGGAAGACCCCTCACAGTAGCTCTGGAGATGGGCATAACCTGGGAGGAACTGGACAAATAAGGCTCACGGTCTCTTTCCAGTGCTCTTTCCAGTGTGGAAGCTGACCCTTAAGGTCACAGAGCTGACCTCAGTTTAACAACTACTCTGTGTGTTGTGTGATTTTTTCGCTGCTTTCTAGGCTTTATGTTGCTCTTTTAAACCCAGTTTGTCTTGTCTGCACGGGTTGTGGGCGAGAGTCACCAAGGCCATGTTTCAGAGCTTTGCATGATGTCGCCTTGCACCATTCCACTGAGAGTTGCCAGGAGTAGATGGCCTCCATCTGAAACACCCCAGGAAAATTCAGGGTGGAAGACAGAGCTGTGGAGGCCGAAGAAGCCCCCCTGTGGATGCATTCATTTAAAGGAAGGGAGGCGGCAAGTAGAGAAGGCAAGGCCGTGTAGACGAGGGTCCCAGGGACTGCAGGAGCAGTTTCCCTTCCTCCCCGTGGTGTCATTGGCTTTAGCCTCTAGGACCAGAGGTTGGTCCAGCTGCAGAGCTGAAGGTCACCAAGACAAGAATTTGCATATGATCTGGAGATTCTTGATGAACTCTGATCTACAGGCTGTTTTCACCTGTAGCAGGTGACGGCCCACAGGTGTCACGTCCACCCTACACACACACACATGGTTCCAGCACCAGGCCCGGCACCTGCATCCATGGCTTCACCTTAACTTCACATGACCTCTGTGAGGTCACAGGCCAAGGGCCCCACTTGACTGCTACTAAGGTGAGGGGCTCCTCTGGGGCCACTTGGGGGCTCAGTGGTGGATCCAAGGTCTGGGCCCCAGAGCAGGCCTGTGGCTGGCCACTGTCTGATGCTTGCTTTCTGCATTTACTCCTCTCGCCATTTTTTGTCCTGTGCCTTCTTCACCACAGAGCCTGCAAGTCAGGTGTGTGCCTGGGGTCACTCTGCCCAG